TCAACTCTGTCACACATGTTCAGGTACAGCAGCAGCTGATATTAGTTGATGTCGGCGCTGATATTAACGTTTATTGACTGAGCTGATCTCAGTTTGGTGTTTTTATTCCTCAGACTCTGTCCACTGCTGTGGTTCTACTGAAGCTGTGATCCGATTGGTCCTCTCTGCTCTGGTGGGCGTGGCTACTGTCATTCTTCTGGTTTATGACATCAGATCAAGAAGCTGATCAGGATCGAGCACATATTCACACAGCAGGTACGTAATTGTGGTAATTTTTCGTATAACTATTTTTAAAATATAATTTATTGTTCTTCATTTATTTCTAATGGCTGTATATATTCATACGCTGGTGTTTATGTTCATTTATAGGCGGCTCATTTCCACCCTAAAAGATGATTTGAGAACAAACCATAACATATTCTCACATTAATGCTCAAAATGCAAGTGATACTGAAGATTGCCAAATATTGCTTTGCCCACGCTAGATTATTTAATATAACGCTTTCATTTTTAATTATATTTTGTAATCTAATCTTCTCATGCAGTTTGTTTATATTTTCTTCAGATAAGACACACAGATCTCACTTGACTGCTGTATATTTGCCATATGTATTTGCTTACATTTGTCAATAAAGTTTTCTCACTCTGAGCTTCAAGAGTCTCTCTATGGTTTATTATGGTTTTTTTAATGTCGAGCGCCCCCTGGAGGAATACAAACGAAGTATATTTTAAAGGTCCCATATTTTACACCTTTCTGGAGTTTTATTTTAGGTTTTGATGTCCTTAAGAATATATATTTGCGGTATAAGTACCAAAAACCATCTCAATATATTTTTACAGCTCCTCTCTCAGGAGCTCTGCTGAGAGCAGGTCGATTTTGGCCTAATTAATATTCATGAGCCTCTCTTCTGATTGGCCTGTTGTTTTCTAATAATCGCTGTGTGCATGTGTGTAAAGCAACAAACTGACGATTTATATATAATAATTTGTAATTGTATATACATTGTTGTGATTAATTGTGGCTGGAACAATAGACGCGATGTTGTCTGGGGGTTTGGCTAAAGGAGAGTGGGACGGTGGGCGGTGCTCAGGGTGGTGACTGAAGGCGGTGACTGTGTAGTTCTGACGTCAACTTTTTACGGAAGTCACAACGGTTCGTGAAAAATCACAGCTACTTTAAGCAGGCTGTGTGCATTTTACTGTGGACTGACTGTTTTGAAACTTATATGGTAGTTACATAGCACCTAGACCTCAGTTATCATGAAAAAAGCCAGGAAATTTAAGTTTTGACAATATGGGACCTTTAATGAGTTCAGCAGAGCGCCACATGTAAAGCTTGGCATTATGTTAAACGTTATTTGTAAATGTTTACAGACTACTCTTCACATAAACAATCACTGTAGTAAACAGTTAATGTGATTCACTGAAGGTCGGCTACTGTGACCAGCTTGGTTTGTGAGTCAGAGCCAAACACTCTCAGGATCTCATGATGAAACAACCGCTTTAAGACACTTTTAACATGTTTATTTCTGTCAGTTTTTTTCTGTTGAAAATGACGCCATTGATCTACGGGAAGCTGTGGCCTACTCTAGCTAAAAAAAGCTGGACGGTCACACACATCAACACTGAATAAATAAGCAGTTATTTAGCTGACGGTGGAGTTTCACATCACTTTACTACAGAGCAGCCTCACATCAGCTCAAGAGCTTGTCTCTTCATATTTGTGGACTGAGACCGCTGAAGATGTTTCACAGCATTTGGTTCTGTTTGTGTTTGTGGCGTCTGGCTGGTGAGTTTGAAATGTGTTAATGACGTGACGTGATTCTCTTCTGAAGTTAAAGTGTTTTCTGTGTTTGATGTTGTGGAGCTCAAAGCTCCTGCATCAGAAAAAAAGAGAGTTTTGTTTGGATATTAATTTCAAAATGTAAATTTCAAACTGTCTACTTCAGCAAACCATCATAAAGTTATTTAAAAGTCTTAATCTGACTGTGTTTCTGTTTGTTCTTCAAGTGTGTTTGCTGATTCAGATGCAGTGAAGTCAGTGTCAGTGATGGAGGGAGATTCAGTCTCTCTACAGACTAACACTGAACTACAGACAGATGATCTGATAATGTGGACATTTGGACGTCCAGAGACTCGTGTCGCTGAAATCAATAAAGACACCGGAAGATTCTGCACATATGATGTTCTTGATGGGAGATTCAGAGACAGAGTGAAGCTGGATCATCAGACTGGATCTCTGACCATCACAAACACCAGAAACACACACTCTGGACTTTATCAAATATTCACCAGAAGCAGGACAGAGAAAACATACAGATTCAATGTTACTGTCTCTGGTGAGTCACCGTTACAGTGTCATTTGTGCTGCCGGTCTTCATAATAATTATACACAAATAATTAAACAATCCTAGTCATGTAATATCACATACACATTTATTGACAAATCTTCAGCCGACCCTTTTCGTCTCATGTGCATCTGATTGACAGATAAACCGTACGCTCTTATTTCAGAGTTTCTGTTGTTAATGTTGTAGTTAATTCAGCAAAGAAAAGGTTGCATCAAGTTAAAAAGGACAAACTTCCTCATTCAACTGAGCTGTGCAAATGTACTTTAACACTTGCATTAGGCCAATGTTCTTTCTTGCTCCATCCTTGCAATAAATGCATGTTCTCAATGAATGAGCGTATTTACTCACACTGTAAAAAAAATTCCGTAAATTTTACGGTAAAAAACGGCAGCTGTGGTTGCCAGAATTTTACCGTAAAAAATACGGTAGCAACGTTTTAGTTTTACGGTTTTAACTTAAATTTACAGTTAAATACCATAATGTCATTAACTGATATAATGTTAATATACCATCCTATTGAAGCACTGAAATCTGTTTTGTACCTTTGTAATACACTGATAACCACCAAATGCAGGAGGTGATGAGAAAGTCACATGATGAACCAAAGCCCATCACAAGCAGCTTTTAAATAATAACATATATAGAAGGTGCACAGTGTCATTCACTCAAACACTAAACACCATCATGGTGACACACATGAAACACAGTTTTTCACCGTATATAGTAGGGGAATTTACCGTTAACCATTTAACAGGTTTTTAATGTAGCATTTTTACAGTCTTTTACCGTTAAATTCACGGTAATTTTTTACAGTGCAGGTAATGTCAATGGTGTGGCCCATTTCAGACGCAGCCAAAATTAAAATTTTTGGGGTTTGAGAAAATAATTAATTAATCAATAATTACTAAAATCTTCATTAAACACTGACTGACTTATTCTCTCATGTTTCCAGCTCGTCTGCCTGTTCCTGTCTTCAGCAGAATCTTTTCTTCATCTTCATCATCATCATGTTCACTGTTGTGTTCAGTGTTGAATGTGGGTCACGTGACTCTCTCCTGGTACAAAGGAAACAGTTTATTGTCCAGCATCAGTGCGTCTGATCTCAGCATCAGTCTCTCTCTACCTCTGGAGGTGGAATATCAGGATAAAAACACCTACAGCTGTGTGCTCAACAATCCTATCAGCAACCAGACTCAACATCTGGACATCACTCAACTCTGTCCAGGGGTGGACTTAACCAATAAGCGAGGTAAGTGGCCGCTTAGGGCCCTGGGGAATCAGCGGTCCCCATCTGATTGGCAAAATGTATTTGGGGAACGCGCCGGTGTATATTGGTGTTCTGGAGCACTTTTTGCGCATTTTCTATAGGTTTTATAACCCTGTCTCACTGTCTCAGAACAGAGATATTCACCTCAGTGAAGAAAGTGTTTCATGTCATGATTTTATTTGTCTTGATGTTTCACAATCGAACAAATGTGATGACTGGAGATTTTTTTTAACTTTTTGATAATGTCTTCTTTTGTGATCCGAAAAAAATAAGGTAGCCTAATATGGCTTTAGATTTAGAACAGCATCAGGGGCCTGTACCATGAAGCCAGATTAGCTGGCTAGTCAGGTAAGTTTCAGTTTAGTTTGCACCAATCCTGGGTTTTGGTACCATAAAATTGGCTTGGCTTTTAGCGGCATTCATTGCCTTAGTAACTTACACTCCACAGCTAACCTGCTCCGGGGCAGCTTATGTTCTGGTTTAGAGATCTCAAAGTGAAATTTGATCAATCAGCTTCAAGCAAAGTGACACATGTCTGACGCAATAAAGCCACTCCCCCAGTTTCTCTTACTTCAAATTAAAGGACGCTACATAGTAAAACATTTTTAAAGAAGCCTGAGTTGACAGAGAAAGTTGATGATGAGCTTCATGGTACCAACAAAGCCGGATTGGACTGGTTTGGTTTTGTCAACTCAAAACTAACCCTGTAACCCCGAGTTTGTTCAGCCACCATCATGGTACAGGCCCCAGGTTGACTAATTATTTACTGAAGTTGTGAAGGGGTAAATAAACTATAAACTATGAGAGAGAAAGCTAGCAAAATAAGGGTTAGGTCCGTCCCTGACTCTGTCACACATGTGCAGGTATACGGAAGTGCTAATATTAGTGTTTATTACGCGGCTTTGTGGAAAACTCGATTCTGATTGGTCAGTCGCTTGATTCAAATATTTCCTCATATCGGCTGTAGTCCACAGCAATTTCAGACCGCATATTTGGTTTAGGCGTGGACTCGCGCTCTCTTGATTCATACAAATGCATCTGGCGCCATATTGTGTCTCAGCTATTACTTAAGACTTAAGTCATGGGTCGGCAAACTTTTGGGCATGAAGTGCCATTTTTAATTTTTCTGGTTAACCACTGAGCCAATAAGCCCCCCAACTTTTTTTTAAATGCATGCTGTATTTATGTAGTACAGATTTTTAAATGTTAAGAGGAAAATCTGTATTTGATTATGTGCAGAATCTTACATATTTCTGAAGCACTTTTTTGTAAATTGTTTTTTAATCTTTTTAAAATCCTAAAAATTTATTTGTTTTAATGTTTAAATTAGACTTTGAATAACGGATATTAATGCACTGCTTTAATTGAAGCGGTTCCTCTGGCAGCGCTGGACATGATCGCTTACCTGCATTCCCTTCTTACAGGCCTGAAGTCCCTCGTGCATAGGGCTGTTCGATTCCGAAATTTTTTTAATCGATTCCGATTCCTGGTTCTAGAATCGATTCCTCACTGTTGTTTTCGGTTCTTTTTTTACGATTCTTGTTTTTTTTAGATTGAAGGAACCTAATCTCACCATGATGACTGCAGGATAAAGGTCGTAGAAAGTATCCTTCTCATAATATGAAGCTTTATTTGTAAAAAAAAAATGACGATACATAAATTGTAATTTTGTTTGCTTTGCCCGTGAAGTCATAGCCCACAGCTCAGCAGGGACATGCGTTTATCGCATGAATTGAACAAGACATGAAGTTAGGGCTGGACGATACGGCCAAAATTGATATCACGATATATTTCTTAATTTCGGTCGATACGATATAATTCCGATATCGATTTGAACACTATTTATCTGAAATAGAAATCTTTTGTAACATTATAAATGCTTTTATCATCACTTTTGATCAATTTTAAGCATCCTTGCTAAATAAAAGTATTAATTTCTATAATTTCTTTCCCAAAAAAAAGAATAAAAATT